CCTAAAATATAATTCCTCCCTTCGTGCTGCCAAACATATCTATTTCACCACTCTCGGATGAATGATCGTCTGTTGTTTTTTTTGCATGGTAGTCTCATATCGAAAATGAAGAGGTTACTAAAGTTACGAAAATGTTTGTACAACAGAATAAAAATTTGAAACTGATGTCATGTATTGTATTATATTTGTACTGAATTTTCAGATGAAAACTGTACTGATTAACCGTTTCAATACCGTGCAATTTTACACCTTCCTGCCCAGGCCATTTTTCAGGTTTCAGCGCTCTCACACTTTGAATGACAATTGCGCGGTCATACAACACTGTACCCAAACTAAAATTTTATCATTTTCTTCACACAACTAGAGCTTTCTTTTGGTGGTATTTAATCACCGCTGGGGTTTTTATTTTTTGCTAAATTAACAAAAAAAAAAAAAAACTTTTGAAAAAAAAACACATTTTTCTTTGTTTCTGTTATAAAAGTTTACAAATAAATAATTGTTCTTCATAAATTTAGGCCGAGATGTATTCTGCTACATGTCTTTGGTGAAAATAACCCAAATTAGGATGTATTTTTTAGTTTGTAGGAAAGTTATAGAGTTCACAAACTATGGTATAGATCTGAATATTGATCAATCCTGAAGTACTGACAGCCAATCTAAGTTCTTGAGGTCCAAGAATGTCAGAATAGTACAGATATCCCCAAATGACCCCTTTTTGCAGAGTAGACAGTCCGACGTACTTCATAAGAGGCATGGCGAGTTTTTTGAAGTTGTATTTTTTTGTCATAATTTTTCAGAAAATGAAAAAATTAAAAAAATTATTTTCACTATTTTTTTTTTTACATACTGTCACCAGTGCAGTACAGCGTCATCATATAACTGGCATGGCGGTGAACAGGGACACTGACTGGTGACAGTATGAAAAAAAAAAAATATATATATATATTTTTTTTTTATTATATTTAATTTTTTATTACATTTTTTGTTTTATTTTTTTTTTAAGATTTTTTTTCATATTTTACTATGACCAAAGTAGTACAATGTTACCATAGTAACATTATACTACTTTGGGGAAGTGATCAGTATTTTTTTTTATTTTTACACAATTTGCTTATAGCAAAGAATTACTTTGCTATAAGCAAGCATTTACCTGAATGAAATCGATTCATTCAGCTTTTTCTTTTTTTTTTTTTTGTGCTTAGCTGTAATTTGGTCACAGCTAATCACATGACATGTGCATGTGATTAGCTGTGACCATTCACAGCTAGGCACTAGTATACAATGGATGGCATCATGAATGAAGCCATCCATTGTATACAACTGTCATGTGACCTGCTGTGATTGGTCACAGCAGGTCACATGGTACCAGCAATGGGAGCCGATACTGGGATCTGTCATCGGCCGTGTCCGAGGTGCACGGCCAGTGACAGATCGCACTGCTGTGCCGCTCTGCATTAGCGCAAACGGCGCATGTGCGGGAGCACGCCAAATGGCGTGTACCCGGAACGGAGAGACACTTCTGAAGCCGCCAAACGGCCATTGGCCGGGCGGCTAATGGTTAAACGAACATTGTACAAAAATTGTACGAAATTTTTCATGCTTGTCCCTTCAAATAATTTTGGGCAAAAGCTATGTACTAATGATCAGATTATCATATGATTGCTTTGAAAGCGATATTTTTCTTATGATTTTCTGATTGTGTGTACTAGGCTTAAGTCCCTCCCCTCATGCCAGGGTTCTAGGTGTAATTTTGTACTCTGACCTTCTTTTTTCAGTCCAAATTCAATCACTGAACAAATGAACATTTCTAAAATACACCCCATCTTAAGTAGCGACACCGTCAAACTACTAATTCACTCCCTGGTTATCTCTCACCTTGACTATTGCAACTCCCTCCTCATTGGCCTACACAGACTATCTCCTCTTCAGACTATTATGAATCCTGCTGTCAGACTCATCCACCTAACCAACTGCACGGCATACTCAACTCCTCTCTGCTAAACCCTCCACTAGCTTCTGCTACCAGTGCCATCTCATGGACCCCTGGGCAAAGTAGTGCACTGGGACCCTTACCAGGGAAATGGTGACTTGCTACATGTGCCCTGGCAAAAGGTGAATGTGCCTCATAAATGCCTCTCCTAGCCCATCAATGGCCTGAATACATGTACAGCATGTCTGTGCAGAGTATGGGGGGCAGGAGGGCACAGTACAGGGGAGGTCAGGAGGTTACAGTATAGGATGCAATAATGTATAATACAGATATGGTCTTCTCAAGCAGAGCAGTGCAGGGAAGCTGCTGTCACAGATCTTACTTGATCTGGTGCCTGTCACTGGGCTAAATGTATAATCTGTTATTATACAGTATTTATATAGCGCCAACAGTTCGCTCAGCACTGTACATGGCAATGGGAGACAATACATGAGACAGTACAATAACAATACAATGCGATACACGAGGGCTTTGAGGGCCCTGCTCCTTGGAGCTTACAATCTAGGAGGGAGGAGATAGTGGTACGGGAGGAATAGCTGTGGGGGATGGAGTGGTAGGAAGAGTGGAGGAGATCGGCGATTAGCAGAGGGCGGGGTAGGTTTCCCTGAAGAGGTGGGTTTTCAGGGTGCGCCTAAAGAAGAGGAGAGTAGGTGATAGTCTGATGGATTGGGGTAGGGAGTTCCAGAGGATAGGTGAAACCCTGGAGAAGTCCTGGAGGTGGGCATGGGAGGAGGTGACCAGGGAACTAGAGAGAAGGAGGTCTTGTGAGGAGCGAAGAGTACGTTTTGGGTGGTATTTGGATATCAGGTCGGTGATGTAGTTTGGAGCAGTGTTATGGACAGCTTTGTACGTCAGTGTTAGCATTTTGAATTTGACCCATTGGGCATTCGGAAGCTAGTGGAGGGATTGGCAGAGGGGGGTGGCGGAAACTGAGTGGTTGGCAAGGTGGCTCTCTACCTACTCCCCACAGCATCTCAATACTGCTGCTTGTGTGGTAGAAATGCATACTGCTCTGATCCCCGCCGTCCCTCTTCTCCTTTTCATCCCATGTAATTGGAGCAGTACACATCCTGCCCACACAAGCAGCAGTCTTGGTTGCCAACCTCTTACAGATTATTTTTACTGACAAAACTGAGTGCATATTTTACCAACATTTTAAAATATGATGGAAACTTGTATTAGAGTTAAACTGAGCAATATTTAAAAATCTAAATACTATGTAAATATTACAATAAAATATACAATTCTGTGCTCCCTTCTTCACCACAGTCACTTAATTTCAATTTAATTTCATCATAGACATGATGGTGGGACCCTCCCTCTGAATACCATATATATGTGGTGTCTTATAAACCAAATATACAACTTTATAACATTCAAACAAAAAATTTTAAAAATATAATATTGCAGCATAATTGTGATGGTGACATCCCCTATTGTAAGTGAAGAGTTGTTTTATTTCTTGAGGGGGGTGTAACCATATATATTGCAATTTATTATCTTAAAATCTTTTGAAGGGGTGTCGCCGTCACTAATATATTCACTAATATACTCCAATTTTATATTTTGAAATTTTTGTTTGAAAGTTATAAAGTTGCATATTTGGTTCATAGGACACCACTAGACATGTGCAAAACAAAAAAATTTGTTTCATTTCGATTCGAAATCTAACAAATTTCGTGTAGTTGGATTCGTTAAATTAATTCAGTTGGTTTTTGGGATTTGTTTCGGTAATTCGTATTTGAATTCATTTTGTAAAACATTTAGATCAAATTCAAAAAGTCATTCACATTCGAAATTGGTTCAACAGAATTCAAAACTGATTCAACAAAATTCGGAAAGTTGTTAGAAATCAAAAAGATTTCCACTGAATTCGAAAAAATTCAACTGAATTCGAAAAGTTAAGCTGGCCATACACGTGTAGATTTAAAAAAAAAACAAACTTTGGCTTACCTGCCCCTTGATCCCGCGGTGTGTGTCCCCACCCCGCAGCCCGTTTCACCAGCTGCCCTGTGTTCCCGGCGCCGGCATCTTCAGTGTGGGCACCCGGCTGTGACAGCGCTTCACTGCTCACTGCACATGTGCGAGTAGTGCTGGGCTTTGTGAATGGTCCCGTAGTCTTCTGGGACCTGTCACGTGTCCAGAAGACTACGGGGAGAGAGGGGGGAGGACAACTTCCGCTTCTAATCAGCCAATCACATGGCAGCCGCTCAATGCATTTAGGCATGTAGATGTGGTGAAGACGACTTGCTGAAGTTCAAACTGAGCATCAGAATGGGCAAGAAAGGGAATTTAAGTGACATGGTTGTTGGTGCCAGATGTCTGAGTATTTCAAAAACTGCTGATCTACTGGGATTTTCACGCACAAGATCTCTAGGGTTTCCAGAGAATGGTCCAGTGAGCGGCAGTTTTATGGACAAAAATGCCTTGTTGATGTCAGAGGTCAGAGGAGAATGGGCAGACTGGTTCCAAATGATACCATACCATTTTTGAATGCACAACACATCGAACCTTGAAGCAGATGGACTACAGCAGCAGAAGACCACTCCGGGTGCCACTCCTGTCAGCTAAGAACAGGACTACAGTTCGCACAGGCTCAGCAAAACTGAACAAGAGAAGATTGGAAAAACATTGCCTGGCCTGGTGAGTCTCAGCTTCCTGAGATGGTTTTGCCAAAATTAATTTAAAGCGTTTTTGATTTGTGGTGCTCAGATGCAGTGTAGTTACGCTTTAAGGCATAGTAAGTCACTAATGGGGGAAAATCAGCAGTTAATACTGGTGACTAGCCTTCCTTTTTTGGCAACAGCTTCCAGAAATCAGCAGGTGATGAAAGAGAAAAGGAGAGTATGGAAATAGAATGGCACAGGATGAAGATTAGGCTAGTTATAGAGGAGAAAGAAGGTGATGGGTTCAAATGAAATAGAAGTGAGTTTTGATGGTTCAAGACCCTTTCAGCAAAAGATACATAGATTTGCATGTGATAATATTAAAAATAGAAATATCTACTGACCTGGCACATAAAGCTTGGGATGATACGGTGGAAAGTGCAGCCCTTGTAGCCATATCCGACCTCCCCAGTACATAGCTTCAGAAAGTTCTCTACAGAAGTGAAAATTGATAATGTAATGGAAAACAAATGAAGCAAAAAACAAAGGAGTCCTATAATAGCTGAAAAATATAAAGACGCAGTAAACACAGGGAAGGCAAGATTACTTTAAAGGTTAGTCCACCCAAAGCTCATATCTTAGTTTTGTAGGGTCAATGTTAAAGTAGAACTTTAGGCAAACATATTTTTTTCACTTTGGATAGACTAAGAGAGGGTTATAACCCTTGTTAAGTTTTTCTTTGCGGTCTGTGTCCCCAAGGGGAGATTTCCCTTCACTTCCTGTCCCAAAGCCAAAACAGGTTGTCACCAGGTTCAGCCAAACTAGTGTTCTCATTGGAAGATTTCCCTTCTATCACTGTTCTGGGGACAACCCAATGTTTTCAATTTTCAATGATAAGGGTAAACATGACAAATAGAGCGGTTTAATCTCTCTAATGAGGGCACAGACAGCAATAAAAACTGACAGGTGTTCTAACCCCTCTCCACTCTATCCAAAACTAAAAAAAAGTTTTGCCTTTAGTTATACTTTAAGTCTCCTACTGGCTTCATATGTCACTTGTGGACTCTGAAAGCACGATTGTCCTGCTTCTGCTTTCTCCAGAATGAGCATAGAAGGTTGTTATAGTTAGGAACTTAGGTGCAGAAATCTGCAAAAAGCTGGTTGATGATTCAACCCATTATCATCCATTCAAAACTGAAAATGAGTCTTAAGTGGACTAACCTTTTATTAATACAAAAGAGACCTACAATTTGAATAAGGGTTAGTTCTGAGATGTTAGATGTAACTTCAAAAACTCTCTTTGTAAATAATGGCATCAGCATGCTCTTTATATATGCCACGCTGTATATCATCGTATTGGTGGGTAATTAGATTGTTTAATGTTGTATGAATCCTGCAGTTTTCTGCACTTGACTGTGTTAGTCACACACAAAGAGAAATGTATTCATATCACCGTGACCTAAATAAGTGCCCTACCTGCAGTCTTGGGCACTACATCAAACCGGAGCTAAGAAAGGATAGGAGCAGAGGTCAGCCAGGTGCACTACATTGCTCACATAAAGATCTACACTTTTGCTGCTACTGCAGCTGCTGCCCATCTCAGCAAAGTCATCAAAAAATCACAGTGTTAAAATGCTTCCACTTAGGCAAATAGAAAATAAAAAAGCAAGAAAGCAATGTATATGGGTCTATTTATGAACAATTTGGCCATAGGCCATAGCTATTCATCCTGCAAAACTGCATGTACATTTGTTCTGTGTGAACTAACCAGCTGTTGTGAGAATGGGGAAAAAATCAAACGTCTTTAAGCTGTTTTTTTTTTTTCTACTGGTTGAATGTTTATCAAATATTATAGTCAGTAGTGCAGATAGGTTCATGCATAATAGACTAAATTGGGGGAAATACTGCATTGTGGCCATGAGACGGAGCTGATGATCATAGGAAATAAATACATCTTAGTAAGAAGAGATGGAGTTACAATTTTAGCTCTGGAAGGAATCAGAAAATAAATGGACATCCTGTAGTAGCAATGGTTACAATTTTTGCTTATTCCCTCCAGAATTCCCTAGAATGATTAAACTGAATCATCTACTAAGATGTACTGTATATATATTTCCTATGATCCACAACTCCATTCAGTAGCCATAATGTGGTATTTTCCTTATTCACTCTATGGTTGTTATGAATAAACCAATCTTTGCCACTGCACATAATATTTGAAGAACATTCAACCAGCAGAGAAAAGCCTTAGAACATTCAATTTTGCAGCATTCTCAAAACAGCTGGGTAGTTTGCAAAGAACAAATGTAGCTGCAGTTTCGATAGACAATTACCTATGCAAATTTTTATAAATAAACCCCAGAGTGTCTTTGTATATCATTTCGTATGATATAAAAAAGAATACTATATAAAAAAAAATTAATTATATATATATATATAAATATATATATATATAAAATTTTCTGCTTTTAAACATGTAAATTTAAAAAAACTACTAGTTCTTTTATTCACGTACGAATTGACTCTGTCATAGGGAAACAACTGGCATAAAATGTAGGCACTTTAAGATGCCTACAAGGACCTTTATGGTCAGATATCAGGCCATGCTGACAGGCAAGACTTCACGATGGTGCTAAAACAAGTCCTTCCCTTCCTGCCTTCTATTTATTTATTTCAGGTACTTATATAGCACCGTCAATTTACTCAGTGCTTTACATATATATATTGTACAGTCATATCAGTCCCTAACCCTCAAGGGGCGTACAATATAAGTTCCCGAACTTACATTCATACATACACATACCTCACTAGTGACAATTTAGACAGGAGCCAATTAACCTACCAGCTGGTTGGGATTCAAGCCAACGACCCTAGTACTGGCAGGCGGAAGTGCTAACCATTTAGCCACTGCTCTGCCTTCTGCACATTCATATTGGTTCTAGGGAATAGGTGTCAAACTGGCAGCCCTCCAGCTGTTGCCAAACTACAAGGAAGTTGGAAATGCAAGATGGACAGTTACAAGCATGACTACCAAAAGTAGAGGCATGATGGGACTTGTAGTTTAACAACAGCTGGAGGGCCGCCAGTTTGACAGCCCTATAGGGCTACTTTGCTTCTTTTTCTTATTTCCTTCCTTTTATTTATTGTGACATGTCAATAGGAATGTGGAGAGGGCGAGAGGAAGTAGCACACTTAAACACTACCTGGAAGTGTCTTGAGCTTAGAACGTTAGAACAAACTACCACTCAGCCATAACAGCAGAGTTTTGGGACAGCAGCCATTTTGTTGTTTTTGTCCATGACAGAGCCCATTAAATGTAGGTTCTTTATGCTGCTGCAAGTACCATTGTAAGTTTTCAAATTGTTCCCTGTATGCTTGTGAAGGTCCATAAAGGCTGATCACAGGTCCTCTGCTTCCCACTTTAGTTCTGACAATTGACAGCTGAATGACAGGTGAATTGACTTATTTCCAAGCTGAAAGGGGGTTTAATCCCGAGATAAGCTGACCACATGTTACTATGTTATTGTACAATCCCCTTTAGATCTACCAACAAGCATTTAGTTAAAGGACCTGCCTGATTGTATACAAATTGATTGGATAGTTTAGGTCCAGGGGCGGACTGACAACTCATGGGGCCCCTGGGCAATAGGGGATCATGGGGGCCCCTGTGTCCTTGCCTAAACTCAAAAAAGCCTATAAAAAAGGTACCAGGGGCATCTCATGGGGCCCCCTACTGACCCCGGGCCCTCGGGCAGTGCCTAAGTTTCCAAATGGTCAGTCCGCCCCTGTTTAGGTCCTTATATAACATAGTTTTGGTAGATCCTAAGTTGATTGTATGGTCAGATTGTAATGTGTATGGTACGCCTTAGAGTGAGTCATTGTCCTTGTACATCCTGGACCTAGGTTCCAAGGGATCCATAGGGACACAGGGACTGATCTGACGACTAGAACATATATTTGCAGTCATCTCAAGTTAGCTGCACTTTGGCAGCCTTTTTTTTTTTCTTTTTAGGCCAGTCCACAATTACTTTAAGGCACATAATTATGTAATTATTCCAGGTCAGTAAAGCCAATGGGGTAGCATAACAGCCAGGCATCCATTTTTTTTAGGGGACCAGCAATGGTAGATAGCATATTTCTCTCAAGTTAAAGTATAAGTTTACCTTTTGTAACATGTTACACCCATATGCAGGGTGTAACATGTAACATGTTATGCACCCCCTGGAGTCCCTGTTTTGACAGCTAGATCTTCTCCCCCTGCTTGCTGTCACAAACTAAAAAAAAATGTGGCCATGCAGGTCATTCAATCACAGCGTTCTGTGAATGGGAAAAACTATAGCCGACACCCTTTGCAGCTGGTGGCTTTTAGTTCTCAATGACAAACCAGAACGCTGCTGATCACTCTAGGTAATTTGTCATGTTTCACATGACTGTCATATGCCTTTAAGTGTAATTTTTATTTTGTCTCTGCTCCTCCCTTTCCTTTGGTTTAGTTCATGCTGTATAGATAGCCCACCCTTTTGTTCATTTTCCCAGTAATGCACCTCAGCTTCAAGCCTCATGTCTTATGGAGTAGATCACATTATGATCTTTTGACCTATCCGATGTTCATTGTTGTAAGATTCTCTCAGTTTATGGAATAAACTTCACCAGATCTACAAGGTGTCATCTGCCTTTTTTATTCAAATAAGATTGGAGTTATCGCTATCTCATCACAACTGTAAGATACAGAGATCACACTTTCAATGCTTAGATTGGAAAGATAGAACATAATTCATTGAGCTTCCTGTCAGAGTGTAACTGCCTGCCTGATTGAGGTACAGGCAGACAGATACACTGACAGTCTGCAGGTCCATGGGATGTTATAATGAAATAAGGCCAAAGTGGTTAAAAGTGCTGCAGGAACAGAAAAATACTTGTTGATCCTTTCAGAAATTCAGGGAGCGTATACTTTCTTGTAGTGAGCTGCCACTGATACACTGAAAAGTAGTGTTATCTTTCCTGCTGGACTACAGAACATATGCTCCTTAACCCCTAGATGCCGACCGCACACAAATATGCGGCCTCTCAGCGTCATATTTGCGTACCATTTGAAAATACATATGTGCTGGGAGAGCGCAAGCCCTGCGCTCTCCCAGCACATATCTCCGTCACTCGCGGAAAGGTCCCAATCTTCCCTTGGAATCAGGACCTTTTCCGATCATGTGACCTCCGTGACAGCGAATCACGGCGGTCACATGACCTAAAACCCTGCCCCGCCTCCCAGCTTCTGAAACCTCTTAAAGGGCCAGGAGGCACCAGCGCAAAGGGGTTAAGGAGAGGAGGAGGTTTTCTGTAATCCAGTATGGAAGAACTTGGCAAGGATGACAACACTGCTGGGGATTTTGGTAGAGCTGAGGCAGTGTTGTCAGATACACTAACTACAGGAGGTCACAAGGGTTTTTGACAGAATCAACAGTTTTTTCTTTGTACTTACAGCATTTTTAAATATAAAGAACACAACAGAATGTGCTTTTATTGCAGATATGTCTTGAATATGTTATTTTATCCAGACATATAATTTGAAATAACATGCAGTATGCGTGTAGACACAGCACAGAGAAATTACACAGAGACATCCACAATTAAAAAATTGCAAGTAGCAGAGCCAGCAGCAAGTATTTCAGTATTAGGAACAAGAAAGTGCTACAATTCCTAACAAAGTATCAGCAGGCTGATTTTTCTCAGACATGCTTTGAACATTGTTGAATGAATGGCTTATTTAGGTAGGAAATGTCATTGCAGTTACAGCACAGTTATAAATCTGAGAATGTGAATCTGAGACGGGATATCACTCAGTCATCTTCATGCTCTGTTAATACGTCTTCTTCTGTGTGCATGTTTATCTTCATCTCAGAATTCACTTGCTCTTGCTTCTGTTATAACCAAAATCAGCACTGCAAGGGATTCCTCCAAGTCTTAGAAAGTTATAGTTTAGAAATATGAAAAAGTACAGGCATACCTCTGTTTATGAATTTAATTCATTTTGCGGGACTTTTCGTATTGCGAAAAATTCGTAAACCGACACGTGGTTTCCCATAGGAATGCATTGAAAACCAATTAATCCATTACAGAGGTCAGAAAAAAGTTAAAAAAAAAAGTCTTTTATCTGTTCAAAACTCTTTATGAAGTGCACTTTAAAGGCATAAATACTGTACAGGGACATGATTAAAAATTAATTCGTAAATGCATTGAAAACCAATCAATTCGTTGCGGAGGTCAGAAAAAAGTAAAAAAAAGTCTTATCTGTTCAAAACTCTTTATAAAGTGCATTTTAAAGACATAGTAATATATAGGGACATGATTAAAAAAAAAAATTGTAAATGCATTGAAAACCAATTAATCCGTTCGTATTGCAAAAAAAATGTGTATACCGAGCCATTATTTTCAATGGATTTTCATTCGTAAACCAAAAATTACGTTAACCAAGGTGTTCGTAAACCGAGGTATGCCTGTAAATAAAATATT